TTCTCCTTGGATTCGACTTCAGTTGGTTTCGGCTCGCAAATATATCACTAACAAATCGCATTTGTTTTTGACTTTCAGAATTTGGTCGACCATCTTACTTTTCAATGTTTGTCGACTGGTTTTGCGGCTACAAAGAAGATAGCGTTGAAGCCATCCAAACACAAAAGGAACATCAAGAAAAAATGGCTATACTCACTTCATTGAAGCAAGACCCCAAAGCAAAAATCTTTCTCTACGTCAATGTGGTTATTAGTATAATAATAGGACTCGCTATTTATATTTATTTTTCAGTTTGATTTGCGAAATTGGGAATACTTCATGACAATATCTTTCCGGGTCTTTCCAACATTTTCTCCTATTAAACACGTTCGTGAATTATTTACGAGTACTTCCTATCTCTTTTATGGTTCCATCTGACATCATCACCGATGTCTCCAGGGTCTCACTACGCTAAAAAAGGTGTACGTAGCTATTTTAAATGAATGTTGTTGATGCCCAAAGCTTAATCGTACGAACTCAAGSTAYTATTGGATACCTATAGGACACACAATAAATCTCAACGTACTMATACAAACCCCACGCTAGAAAGCTCTTTTTTACAGGACCCTGTTCCGTGAATAGTTCAACTGGTCTGTCATACCAAATAGATTGTCATACATGCATAGTTTATCATCGTAGCTTGTTTATCGTACATACAAGACCCACAGATCACCTGCGTTTAAATTGTTTTTCTTATGGTCGTCGCAGTAAAAATAATCATTTGTAAAGCTTATAGTATAACCATCCGGACGATTCAACACTCTTTTGTATAACCGGACTGAACCTCGATGTTCACCTCTGTTTCCCCATTGGTTAAGGTAGGAATGTCCATCGCGTTTATAGCCCAATTTTTTGCAGTCCTTGGAAACCACAGATGTGTCATCAGGCATTGTGAAGTAAGAGGAACATGCAACGGCGGGTGTATCTGAGTTTTTAGTGAAGTATCTGTGAAAATAAACATTTGAATATTTTTCAAGTTCAATTTAAGTCCATTTCTGAATTAATCAATCATACCTGTGATGACATCATAGCCACGATCAGTCCTCTTTGTCATCACGTGGACTGTCCTTTTAACGGCTTTCTTATGGCAATAGAATCGCATCTGATTGAATCCCATGTCGTTTCGGAGGCTCAATAAGATATCAGTATTAATTCTTTTTTTCCAGTTTAGCTCTTTCATGGATCTATAATCTGGCATATCTATAGCACCTGTTGGACTGGACGACTTTAGCTCACATCGATGCACGACAGTCCATCCTCCTATCAAGACAAAAGTCCTATTCTTAATTCTAAAAGGTTCAAATCGTGGAAAGTTTCATCACAATCGATACAGCGGTAAAAAGGGTTCTTTTCAAAAAATATAAAAAAATAATAATAATGATAAATAAATAAAAAGGAAATGAACACCGATCTCAAATGATTCCTCGTTTCTTTTTAAGTATATATGCGGTCTTTTTTTCGTACAAACTCAAGTGTATTCCTTTCCCCTCGTTAATTATCAAGCACTTATTCCCATGCAGGCCTTAGGTCATCTATTTTGATATCCCAGGAAAATATGCAAAGGTTTTGAGTCATTTGGACTATAAAACATGATTTGCTGCTGATGATTGTCTCCCTCCAATAAACTTGTCATTTAATRATGTAGTAAAGAAAAGSTTTTTTGAATTTTACTCTGGTTCTTRATAATCTTTAAGGTTTATACTGACCTCCATCTGTTGTCATATCACAAGATACCAGGAATGGTTTTCCAGATCGTGTCGGGTCAATCCAGTAGTCTCCATCCCCTTTGGCTTTTCCATACTTATTGATGTACTTGCATGAATGYCCAGGTCGTGCGCTGGTTGAACCATCTAAACCTGGATGTCAGAAATATTAACTATTAGATCGCCCTATAGCGTAGCTATAGATAAACGGGCAATCCTGACGCGACAGACGGATGCGACTGCTTGCAATGATATATCCTTTGAATGATTGTCTATAAGTGTGAAAGAAAGAAAGTTCTATCATTACTCGCTCACCGGTCGTTTTCCAAGATGCCACAAGGCCGAAGCCGCGAGGGAAACTATRTACTGATCTATCAACATCTATCATCATGAACAAAACATGTTTGTACCGAATCTAGACCACAATGCAATGCAAACCGCTATCTTAGAAAATGTCTATGTGCTGATAATGTAGTTAAATGACGCCGTCACAGCCGTCACTCACCAATCCACTTTTCACAGTATTCGCCATGATAATCCTCTGCACAGTCACATGTGTAATCATCGTTACACCCAGCAAGTCTACATGTTCCACCATTTCGACAAGGAGACGACGAACAGGCAGGTAAAGCCTCTAAAACCTGGGGATACAATGTTCAATTTTTAAAATATTGGCACTGTACAATTTTATCGTTTAGAGAAACGGGATTAATATGCATGTATATGTAGAGTACACACGCGTACCCCTTGCAAGGTTTTAAGTTTAAGTTTTCAATTTTGTTCTCTTAGTTCTACAAAAATTATGAACGTTGAGAGTCGAAAACGAGGTGGATGTCGGATACATACGTGTTGTTCAGCATCATAATACGAGAATCCTTCTTGGATGACGTAATCAGATGAAGACGCACTTGATTTTGATTGGTTRTTCAGTTGGCAMACGTGATGAGGAGAACCAGTTTCTTGGTAATTGTACGACTTACATCCACTAGTCTCCAAACATTTTTCCGCGCAGTCCAGGGAACTAGCTACGTCATGGGATTCTATCACGTGACCACTTAACTTTCGATCTAAAAAAATATCCTGGATCAATTACAKAGATTCATTCGTAGAGTTTACGATATTCCTTCGATTCTCAGCAAGTTTGAAATGTTGAATTATACCTTTGTCAACTCTCTTGAATAATGCATCTCTTTTGCGATCGCATCTCAAAAGGGMTGGTTCAACTCCATGAACTATGACTGCGCATGACAGAGTGATAAACAGCTGAAGATGTGACGTCATTATTATGGTAGCTGCAACTAGAAAAACGCTGCTTGACGACTAGATGTGATAATTATCCTTCTTAACCAAAACTCGTGATATAACTGACTTTGATACTGAGTCCATAGTTACCATGACTCAATACAAATAATTGTCGCTATGAACGTTTTGAAACCAGAACGAAAACGAAAAAGCACGGATTGTCATTTTGCATGATTTGTTGTCCTTCAGCATAGAGTCGTTAGTTTAACCGGCCGTAGAAGTAGTCTRTTATTTCACGCTTTGAATGCAATGACTCTATAATGTAAAAAATAAATGATAATAATAAAACTCTGGAGCTTCTTTACCTTTATGGTGATTTTTAGCATGTAACTTTGKGCATGGATCTCAAAAGTACTGCACCAACAATGTACCAACAAGGATTCATTTTTATAGAAGCATCGTATTTTTGTTATTTAGTTTAGTTTAGTTTTTTTAGTTACTATGAATATTTYATCAGAAGGGTTTACTTTTGTGTCAAAGTATGCGTTCTTTTATAAGTTTTAGCTCATATAATCAGCTTCTATCAAGAGATATTTCAGAATTAGTACAACTAGTTCTTGGTTATATATATGCAGAAGTTTTTATACAATAATTACTATACAATATAAAAATTAAGGCAATTRTCGGCGTTACCAATTTGTTGGTATATCAAAACTTCAAATAGGTTCTCAAGGCTGCAAACTCAATTAAAAATGAAAGTTTGACTCATTCGATGTAGAATTACAAGGATTCTTAAAATAAAACCKGCCAAAAAGCAAATTGAGGAAAGTAAACCAAGAAAACTAAAGCAAGAAAGTTTAACTAACCTGAGCTTAGCGTTACCACACTGCTTAATTATATGGTTTTCTTTGTGTTTATTTCTGGAGGAGTTACAATGTTACGAGGCGCAGGTGTTTAGCGATTTAATCATTATTAGCCAGGTCGTATCACACAACTATACTGTGCGCGCACAGTAACTGAATGTAATAGGTACAATATTATTTAAGATAACACTGAATGAGTGAACAAAAGAATAGAAAAAGAAAGAAATGAAAACATGGTTTATACCTGACTGCATGCKACATAACATTGTTTTAGTACATTTGTAAAGTATATACACACAGTATAGTTTGTATAATCTGTGTGATACGATCTGGCTAATAATGACTATTTCTTTCGCTAAACACCTGCGCCTCGTACCTGGAGCAACGCATGCACCTGCAACTCCTCCAGAAACAAACACAAAGAAAACCATATAATTAAGCAATGTTAACGCCAAAAGCTCAGGTTAGTTAAACTTCTTGCTTTATTTTCTTGATTTGCTTTGCTCAGTTTGTTTTTCGGCMGGTTTTATTTTAAGAATTCTTGTTCTACATCGAATTAGTCAAACTTTCATTTTTAATTGAATTTGCAGGCTTGAGAACCTATTTGAAGTTTTGATATTCCAACAAATTCGCCAACGCCGACAATAATTGCCTTAATTTTTAATATATAACCAAGAACTAGTTGTACTTAATCTGAAATATTTCTTAATAGAAGCTGATTATATGAGCTAAATATTATACTAAGAACAAGAACTTATAATATGCCACAAAAGTAAACCCTTCTGATGAAATATTCATTGAGTCTTCAAGTTTTTCTCTAACGACCTCGTCCAAAATCATCCAAGCGTTTCGCCAGCCATCGCAAAAATATTACGATATAAATTATGGTAAACTTTTTTGTACTAGTTTTTTGAATTTACAACTAAAAAAATACGATGCTTTTATAAAAACGAATCATTGCTGGTACTTTATCATTAAACGAGGCATATGAATACTTTTGAGATTCATGCACAAAGTTACATACTAAAAAACATCATAAGGGGAAAGGAGCTTCAGAATATTATTATTATYATTTATTTTTTTCATTATAGAGTCATTACATTCAAAGCGTGAAATAACAGACTACTTCTACGGGCCGGTTAAACTAACGACTCTATGCTGAAGGACAACAAATCATGCAAAATGACAATCAGTGCTTTTTCGTTTTTCGTTCTGTTTCGTACATCCTAGTTTCAAARCGTTCATAGCGACAATTATTTGTATTGAGTCATGGTAACTATGGACTCAGTATCAAAGTCAGTTATATCACGAGTTTTGGTTAAGAAGGATAATTATCACATCTAGTCGTCAAGCAGCGTTTTTCTAGTTGCAGCTACCATAATAATGACGTCACATCTTCAGCTGTTTATCACTCTGTCATGCGCAGTCATAGTTCATGGAGTTGAA